TGGGCTACTGGTGAGTTTCAAGCCCCTGAACTTTCTGCGTCTGAAGTCTGCGGTAATACCCTGAAGCCAGAGCACAACCAACGCCGACCCAGCCACGAAGTGAGCCCAAACACCTCGGACTTCCCTTGATATTTTTATTCTAGAGTTTAGGGCTTAGGGCTTCGGCCTTATATTAAGAGGGTCGTGCCCTCAGGCTTGATCTGCAAAATGTAAGTTCTGGAAGGCATGCCTAAACCCCCCCCCAAGCCCAACAACCCTAAGCCTAAGCACAAATGACGTGAATACCATGTCAGGCAAACCGACCATCCCTAACTTGGAGGACTTTTGAGGCCAAAGTCCTTCAGCCCCAAAACCTCCAAAATTAGCCCCAAAACCTAAGCCCTAAACCCTAACCTCTGAACCCTAACCCCTAAACCCTGAACCCTAAACCCTGAACCCCAAACCCTAAACCCTAACAAAATGCCCCCCAAACCCCCTCCCCCCATCAGGGCTTCCCTGGCAATCCTTGGGCGCCCTTGCCGTGTCGCCTCCGGACGCCACGCTCACAGAGGCGCCACAGACCGGCTGGCAGGACTGGGGGGGGTTTAGGGTTTAGGCTTGGGGTTTAGTGTTTAGGGTTGTGAGGGTTAGGGTTAGCCTCGGGGGTTTCCCACAAAATGGGGCTTTAGGGGTTGTAGGGGTTTAGGGTTTAGGGATTGGGGTTTAGGGTTTTAGGGTTTAGGGTTTCGGGAGTTTAGGGTTGTGAGGATTAGGGGTAGGGTTTAGGGTTTTTGAATTTAGGGGTTTATGGTTTCGGGTTTAGGGTTTAGGGGTTTAGGGTTTGGGGTTGTAAAGGGTTTTAGGGTTTCAGGGGTTTAGGGGTTCTAGGGCTTTGGGGTCATGTGCCCCTTACGAGTAGTTTCTTATGGTTTGTGTTGAGGGTACTAAACCCTCACTACCCCCTTTTGGGGGCTTGGAGCTTACGGTTGATGTGGCCCATGTACACGACTGCCCGTAGAGCCTCAAGCTGCCAGCCCAACAAAACTGCAACGGTCATTTTTATGAAGGCTGATTGTGACCCTTGTGCTCAGCTCAAAAACCCGAAACTCTATCCCTAAACCCTAAACCCCAAACCCTAAACCCTAAATCCTAAACCCTTATCCCGAGGAGCACACGGATGGCAAGTGGCGATGCTGCAAAAAGGGGGCTCGGCTCCGCTCCCCATCCTGTGCAGGTTTACACGAGGTCTTCGCGCATGTGTGAGGTTTTCCCTAAACCCTAAACCCTAAACCCTAAACCCTAAACCCTAAACCCTAAACCCTAAACCCTAAACCCTAAACCCCAAACCCTAAACCCTAAACCCTAAACCCTAAACCCTAAACCCTAAACCCTAAACCCTAAACCCTAAACCCTAAACCCCAAACCCTAAGCCCTAAACCCTAAACCCTAACCCCTAAACGCGAAACCCTTAACCCTTAAACCCGAAACCTAGCAACCACGGGCTTGCAACCCTTAAAACCTCTAAACCCCCTAAACTCAAGGCTTAGGCCGCCCCTCTATAGTGGGGCAGGGACCCCAAACCCCAAACCCAAACCCTAAACACTAAACCCCAAACCTGAAACCCTAAACCCTAAACTCTCAAACCCCAAACCCTAAACCTTAAACCCTAAACCCTAAACCCTAAACTCTCAAACCCTAAACCCTAAACCCTAAACCCTAAACCCTAAACCCTAAACCCTAAACCCCAAACCCCAAACCCCAAACCCTAAACCCTAAGCCAAAGGTGGGTGCTCCGCGAGGAGGCGGGCCTCGTCGGCTTGCGGAAGCCTTCCCTGCCACTGCAGGCTGCGGGACTGCGATAAGGGTTTGGGGTTTAGGGTTTAGGGTTTCGGGTTTAGGGTTTAGGGTCTAGGGTCTAGGGTCTAGGACTGAGGGGTTTCCAGGGTTAGGGTTCAAGGGGGCTCAGGGGTTTAGTGTTCGGGGACTTGGCGGCTAAGGTTCTTGGATCCCCAGGGAGCCCCAATGCACCTCATATTCGAGGGGCTGGATGGGGAATTGTGTTACATTCCGCAGTAGGGCCCGCAGGGGGGGGGGGGGGGGGCGCGACAGAAGGCTCGCGTTTTGACACGTATCTTACAGCGCACTGTTATTGGCAAAAGCGCTGTTAAGACACACGTTATTGGGTTTGTGTACGTTCGTGCGCAGGGTGAGGCGATTCTTTCATGCATTGCATCGCACATATCACATCACATGGAGCACCCCTTTCAGCTGAAAAGACTTCCCCCTTGCCTTTCTGACTTTCGGAACAGTCGCATCGAAGAACCCCTGCTGCAAGGTTTGCTAGGTTGCGATCTTGAGAAGAAGACTGCTGTTTGCTGGAGTGAGAAGCTGCACAAGTGTAGTCTACGCAAAGCGAAGACGATTCCCCCGAACCGAAAACACTTTCCTAAGCTCTAGCCGCAGCAAGATTTCAACCCTAAACCCTAAACCCTAAACCCTAAACCCTAAACCCTAAACCCTAAACCCTAAACCCTAAACCCTAAACCCTAAACCCTAAACCCTTGGGGGTTTTAGGGTTTAGGGGTACATGATGTATCATTCCTACCTGAAAACCCTGGCCTTGATCATCACAGTGGAACGCCGGTGAGAGGTGCGGATTCTCCCGTCGACGGCCCCGCCGGTGGTGTCCTACCGGACGACCTACGTTCAGGCAAGAGGGCCCTATTCCCTAAACCCTCAACCCGAAACCGACACACCCCCGCAACCGCCCCCTGAACCTCCCCCCCCCCAACCCCTGAACTCTTGACCCTAAACCCTGAACCCCAAACTCTAAACCCTAAACCCTAGCCCTAAACCCTAAACCCGAACCCCAACTTGTTGCAGGCCACGGAGCGGCCGCTGACGCTCTGGAGCTCCTGCTTCGTAGTTGCGCAGCTGGTGGACTACGCCCCTTGTCTGGGAGGGTTTAGGGTTTAGGGTTTAGGGTTTAGGGTTTAGGGTATAAGGTTCAGGGTTTAGGGTTTAGGGTTTAGGGCTTAGGGCTTAGGGTTTAGGGTTATTTTGGGGTTAAGGGGGCTATGACACCCAAGGTTCCCTAATACTCCCTACTGCTTTCTAAGGCTCCCTAAGCTACCTACCCCTCCATGAACCTAAGAACCCTGTAAACGGGGGTCTGTGGTGGGTTTGAGAGTCTAGGGGCCTGTCGGTTTTTGGGTTTGGGTTTTAAGATTCCAGGCTTTAAAACGAGTAGTTTTTCTTTGTCGCTTTTTGTTTGGGCCGGGTCTTCTAGGAGGCACCGACAACTACAACCGATGAATTTCCCGAAGGCCTTACAGGAAGCCATCCTGCCTCAACCCCCTAAAGCTTGAACTCAACCCCTAAACCCTGAGCCCTAAACCCCAAACCCCAAACCCCAAACCCTAAACCCTTAAAGCCCCAACCTTCAACTCCCCAAGCTCCCAGACCCTCAGCCAAACAAAGATGGTTACTGCAAATTTGCAGCCTTTGACCCTCAAAGACCTCAAGACCTCAAGGCCTTTGACCTTAAATCCTTCAACCCTTAGGCTTTCGAATCGTCCTCATATACCTTAGGAGCCCCAAAGCATAGAGGCCCTTCATAACCCTATCGTAAGCCTTGCCGCAACCCTCGACCCTCGAGCCTCCTCGCTGCAAAACGGCACGGTCACCAAGCAAGGCCACACTGTTTTCATAACCCTAAACCCTAAACCCTGAACCCTAAACCCTAAACCCTAAATCCTAAACCCTAAATCCTAAACCGTCAGTTCTCACCCGACTTGTCGCTGCCCATCAGGCCTCAAGCAGAATCTCGGACGCTGCAGCCCACAAGCACCCCCAGCTTCGGCCCTAGGGGTAGGGCCTAGCTATTCAAAATGTGAAAATCAGGAATGAGAGAGCTGTAGCCCACGGCTTTAGGCGCTCAAGGTTACTGTGATGAGAAAAGCCCCTGATAGAAGCCTTAGGATCCCTAAACCCTAGACCCTACTAGCCCTAAACCCTAAGCCCCAAACCCTAAACCCTAAACCCTAAACCCTAAACCCTAAACCCCAAACCCTAAACCCCTGAACCCTAAACCCTATTAGCCCTCAACCCTTCTGAGTAGTCCTCCCCCCAGGTTCTTCGGCGCAAGGCTTCCACGAAGGCGCTGACCAACAGGACTTTGGGTCATTCAGGGTTTAGGGTTTAGGGTTTAGGGTTCAGGGTTTAGGGTTTAGGGCTGTAGGGTTTAGGGTTGAGGGTTTAGGGTTTAGGGTTTAGGGTTCAAGGGGTTTTGGCGGGGTTGAGGGTTTAGGGTTTGGGGTTTAGGGCTAGTAGGGTGTAGGGTGTAGGGTTTAGAAGTTAGGGAGCTTCGTTCGGAGGGTTTAGGGTTTAGGCTTAGGGGTTAGGGCTTAGGGTTTCGGGTTTAGGGGTTAGGGTTTAGGGTTTAGGATTTTGGGTTTAGGGTTTAGGGCAGCTTTTACAAGATGACAGGGAGGGGGCTTGTGGTTTTCGTCGTCGGTTCGCTCCTGCAGGATCATCAACGTCATGTCGCGGATCCGGTGGCTGCAGCCCAGCTGCACCCTAAACGCTAAGCCCTAAGCCCTAAACCCTAAACCCTAAACCCTAAACCCCAAACCTTAAGCCCTAAACCCTAAACCCTAAGCCCTAAACCCTAAAGCCTTAAACCCTGCGCCCTAAACCCTAAACTATGACCCTGGAGGCTCCGCCTAAGCCCAAAGGAGCGGTGAAAAGCCCTTAAATCCCAAGACCCACAACCCAAATGCCGAACTCCGAAGCCCCCTCCGAAGAAAACCCTTACAACCCCAAACCCTAAGCCCTAAACCCTAAACCCTACACCCTACACCCTAAACCCTGAAACCCCAAACCCTAAACCAGGCTCACTTCAACCTGCGCATGCCTCGCCCTCTTCCGACTGATTGCCCGATGGAAGGCTGGGTTTATGGTGTTTGGGGGCTTATGGGGTTAAGGGTTTGGGGTTTGGGGTTTAGGGTTCCGGGCTTACGTTTTAGGGCTTGGGGTTTGGGGTTAAGGGTTTGGGGGGATTTGTTGGCGGCCTAGAGGTTGGTTGCTTTTAAACACGTGTCTTGGGTTTAGGGCCTAGGGTGTTTGAGCTCCAAGAGACAGCGGATGTTCGGAAGCCCCACAAATCCTAAGCCCCAAGCCCCAAACCCTAGACCTCAAAACTTCCAAGCGTTTAGCACCCAAGCCCTAAACCCTAAACCCTAAACCCTAAACCCTAAACCCTAAACCCTAAACCCTAAACCCTAAACCCTAAACCCTAAACCCTAAACCCTAAACCCGAAACCCGAAACCCGAAACCCTAAACCCCAAACCCCAAACTGCAGCACCTCGAAACTTCTAAACACCCAAGGCCCGCAAGCCTCTACTTGGAGGTTCATGGGTACTTGTAACCCTAAACCCTAAACCCTAAACCCTAAACCCTAAACCCTAAACCCTAAACCCTAAACCCTAAACCCTAAACCCTAAACCCTAAACCCCAATCATCGCTGCACTTACAAGCCCCTCCTCTAATTAGGTTCTCGTCGACTTATAACCCGGGTTCTAAGTGCCCATGAACTCCAAGGAAGCCTCCGCAGCCGAAACCTCTGCACCCCTTAACCCTGACCCTCCGTACTACATCTCAACCCTAAACCCTAAACCCTAAACCCTAAACCCTAAACCCTAAACCCTAAGCCCTAAACCCTAAACCCTAAACCCTAAACCCTAAACCCTTAACCCTAAACCCTAAACCCTCCCCCCTCTAAATTTTCGGGTTTGGAGTTTAGGGATGTTCAGAACCCGAGCCCCTAAAGCTCCTAAAGCCTCCAGACCCGAAATCCTAAATCCTTAGGCCTTAAGTCGCAATGTCTAAACCCGAGATCACTAAAATCCCAGACCCTAAATGCCTAAATCCTTAAACCCCCCCAAGCCCGAAAATCCCTAAGTCTCTTGTTCTAAATCCTACATCCCCAAACCCCAAACCCTAAACCCCAACACCCTAAATCCCGAAACCCCCAACTCCCTAAATCCGTGAACCTCAAAAAAACCCTAAATCTCCAAACCCTACAAACCCCAACCCCTAAACCCCCAAAACCCGAAACCCCAAACCCCAAATCCTCATTGCCTAAACCCTAAACCCTAAACCCTAAACCCCAAACCCCAAACTCCAAACCCTAAACCCTAAACCTTTGCAGGGTTTAAGTTGGGCCTCGGCCTCGTGATCAGGAGCGGCGATCCCGGGGAAAGGCATGGCTGGAAAGAATGCTTCAAGGGCTTAGGCAACTTAGCAGGGTTTAGGGTTTAGGGTTTAGGGTGTAGGGTTTAGGGTTTAGGGTTGGACGCCCAGCCCTGAAAATTTTAATGATTCAGCCCTAAACCCTAAACCCCCTCAAACGGAAGCCCGGAACTCCCAAACACTAAGCCCTCAGCCCAAACCCTATGGCCTGACTAGCGGAGGAGTTTTATAGTTCCAAGAGTTCAGGGCGCATGATTGAGCAACCCCTTATTGAACCTCCCTACCCCGGGTTTAGGGTTTAGGGTTTAGCGTTTAGTTCGGGTTTAGGGTTTAGGGCCCGCATATATTCCCCAGATGGCAGTTAGGGGGGTGGAGTGGGTTTACATCAGGGGAAGGGCAACGTGCCGAAGCCCCTAAACCCCGCTAAGCCCCCAAAACCTCTCCACCGCCTAAACCTTCTAAACCCCCTAAGCCCCATAGATCCCCTAAACCCTAAACCTCCAAACAGTAAAGGAGCTGATTCCGGAGCCGTATACGGCTTTGGGTTCAGGGTTCAAGACCTCCCCCCCTCTAACAACCACATTTCCCACGCATCTGTGGGTCGAAGGGTCCACGGTAGGTCTGAGGGTTCAGGGCTTTCGAGCATTGGGATTTTAGGGGCTGTGAGTTTGGGGGAGGAGGGGGTTGGTCTGTGCAGCAGGCGGTGATCTCAGACGTCCTCGGGGTGCAGCTGGTCCGCAGCATGAGTTAGGCTTGCTCGGTTAGCAACCCCAAGGGTTTCGGGGTTTACTTGGAGGGGTACATATAACCCCAATAATCACTGTACGTATAGAAGCCCCCCCAGTCCCCCCTAAGCCCCCTAAGTAGGTTATTCGTAGACTTATCATTGGGGTTATAAGCCCTGAACCCTAAACCCAAAAAACCCTAAGCCCTAAGCCCTAAGCCCTAAGCCCTAAGCCCTAACCCTAAACCCTAAACCCTAAATTGGAGTTATAAGCCCTTAGACTTATGATTGGGGTTATAGGTACCCCCATATGAACCTCCAAGTAGGGTTTAGGGTTTCGGGCTTTTTCGGCGGTTCAGAGGTTCAGATGGACTCAGGAGTTGAGAGCTTCGGATCACGGCAGTTTTAGGGTTTAGGGTTTAGGGTTTGGGGTTTAGGGTCTAGGGTTTAGGGTTTCGGGCTTAGGATCATGGGGCCTGTGGTTGGAGCATGCAGGTTATGAGAGTCTTCACGTAAACCCTAAACCCTTTACCCTAAACCCTAAACCCTAAACCTCAAACCCTGAACCCCAAACTCTGAACCCCAAACCCTGAGCCCGAAAATCAGCAATTCCGAGCCTGGCTTTGAGAGCATCAGTCGGATTCAGAAGGATTCCTAAGTGGATGGGCAGGATCCTTCCAAGGGTTCTTGGGGTTTAGGGTCGAGGGTTTAGGGTAACCCCAACCCTAAACCCTAAACCGTAAACCCGAAACCCGAAACCCTAAACCCTAAACCCGAAACCCTAAACCCTAAACCCTAAACCCTAAACCCTAAGCCCCAAACCCTAAACCCTACTGTCCCAATATCCGAGCCGGGAGGGTACGCAGCCCAGGCAATCCAGTCAGCGCGAGGCGCGTTGTCTCAGAGCGATTGGAATCTCACCTTCTCCCTCATACCACCTGCTCGATGCCCGAAGCCCTAAACCCTAAACCCTTACTAAACCCCCTAAACCCCGAAGCCCCTCTATACCCCCTAAACCCCCAAACCACTAAACCCCTAAGCCCCTAAAACCCCTAAGCCCCGAACGAGGTTTCTGATGTTTAGCGGGGCTTATGGGCTTGGGGGGGGGGCCCTTTTCTATGTCATAAGCGCTTCGTGGGCCTCGGGTTTAGGGTGTTGAGGCTTCAGGGTTTAGGGGACAGGGTTGATGGTTTTGGGGGCCCTAAACCCTAAACCCTAAACCCCAAACCCCAAACCCCAAACCCTAAACCCTAAACCCTAAACCCTAAACCCTAAACCCTAAACTCTAAACCCTAAACCCTACACCCTAAACCCTAAACCCCAAACCCCAAACCCTAAACCCTAAACCCTAAACCCTAAACCCTAAACCCTAAACCCTAAACCCTAAACCCTAAACCCTAAGGTTTTGGGGGTTTAGGGCGTCCAAAAAGAAAACCCCTCCGAAGCTCTCCCAAGGGCCCCCCAAAGAACCCTTAACCCCAAAGCCCTAAGTCACAGAATGCCTGCCCCCCCCCCCCCCCCCCCCCCTCCACCTAAAGGTTTTTCAAAACAGGAAGTGAAAGCCGATCCCCCATGCTGCCAGAATGAACCCCCCCCCCCCTTGAAGATGAGATCAACATCTCGTTAAGAATCGGTGGGAAGATCTTTGAGAGTTCATCCAGTCCTCCAGAGCAACAGAGCCCTGAAATACTCCGCGAAAGCCCTCCTCTAGACCATACTCTGTAGGCTTCAACGCACCTCCTTTATTGGGGTTTAGGGTCAAGCAGTGATGCCTTGGACTCGGTTCAGGGTTTAGGATTTTAGAGTTCTAGGGTTTACGCTTTTTGCCTCCCTTGTTTCAAGCCTCCGGGCACCCAGACGGAAGGCACGGCTGAGTGCTCTGACAATCCTGATGCAGACGCTGGTCCTCGTTGGCTGGCGCGCCGGGGGGGTGGGGGTTCGGACCTAAACCTTTAGGCGCCTAACCCTAAACCCTCTACCCGAAACCCCAAACCCGAAACCCTATATACCCGAAACCCTAAAAACCCGAAACCTAGCACCCTTTTTGCTTCAGGCTGCAGAGGGGATCAGGGGATACAAGGGTCTGCGCTCAGGGTTTATGCTTGAGGGCCCTCTCGAACCCTTTAAAAAAGAACCCTAAACCCTAAACCCTAAACCCTAAACCCTAAACCCTAAACCCTAAACCGTGTTTAAATAAAGAGGAGTCATCTCAAGAGGGCTTCGGGTTCATGTGAACGGAGGCCTGTTTAAAGGGTAGGAGTCGCACCTTCCCGTCATCTAAAGATCTAGGGGTTTAGGGTTTAGGGTTTAGGGTTTAGGGTTTAGGGTTTAGGGTGTTCCTGAAGGGGGCAAGGGCATAACCCCTCCCGAAGCTGCGAGACTAACGCACATGCTCGCTCGCAGTCGTGCCACAGAGGCTTGTCTGCTGAGCCCTAAACCTTAAACCCGAAGCTTCTGACAGCCGAATGCTGTGCACCACTCTGTACCTAAAGGCTCCTGCGCCATACTTCTTCAAGGTAGTAGACTATAACCCTATAACCTCAACATGACACTTAACATGAGGTTCTGCAGGTAAGACTTCAGGTGAGAGATGCAGTTTAACCAGATAGCTCCTCCGAGCTAAGGGTGCAGGGTTTAGGGTTTAGGGTTTAGGGGTTTAACACCCCAGCGCGAGCGCGTGAGCGCGCCCCACGCAGTCTGGGCTTCTCGGAAACCGTGAGCTGCAACCTCGAAACCCCTAAACTTCTGGGGGTGAGATTGGGATGTTTTCCCCTTATGCTTAATGGGTGTTATAATACGGGGGGTTCTACAATCCCCATTCAGGACTCTTAGCATGAGGAACATCCCAAGGGTGAGAGTGGAATTCTGTTCCTAAAACCTAAACCCTAAACCCGAAACCCTAAACCCTAAACCCCAGGGTGCAGTAAGCCCCTAAACTTTCCTCCCGACAGCTCCTCATAACCGCCCCACTGTAACCCCCCAGACCCTACGCCCTAAGCCCTTCCTAAGCCCTAAACCCTAAACCCTACTCCCGAAACCCGAAACCCCAAACCCTAAGCGCCGAGAGCAACAAGCGAGCCCGGGGAGGTGGATGTGGGTCCTGGCGATTTGTGGGATCCAGGCCGCTCGGCTCAGGTTTTCGGGTTTTTAGGGTTTCGGGTTTTGAAGTTTTTTTTGGCCTTTGTTGCGCGATTTTTTTTGTTACATTTTGGGTTTTTTTGGGCTTTGGGGTTTGTAGTTTTTTTTGGGGTTGTGAGGGGTTTTTGAGGGTCTGAGGGGTTTGTAGGGTTTTGGGGGTTTAGGACTTGGGGTTTAGGGCGGGGGGGGTCTTTCGGGGTTTCAGGTTTTTTTTTTTTGGGTTTCGGGCTTCGGGGGCTTGAGGGTTGAGATTGCTTTCTGGGGTGGAGGCCTGGGCTCGAGCGGGGTTATGGGAGCTGGGGCTGGCCTTATCCTTCCAGAACCTTCTTGGTTTTGGTCCGACGGTTTGCTTGTATTGGATCTACGGGCACGGGCTGAGGGGTCTTCTGGGCTGTTGGTTGCCTGAGGTCCGCCCCCCTCTCTCTCCCCTGAAGCCGGAAAGCCGAAACCTTAAACCAAGCCCAACTTTGCCTCTGCGGCCCTGAGGCCCTGAAAAAAAGAAAAGCAACAAGATCAAAACAAAACATTAAAACCCTCAATCCCCAAACCTTTAGGGTTTAGGGTTTAGGGTTTAGGGTTTAGGGTTTAGGGTTTAGGGTCTAGGGTCTAGGGTCTAGGGTCTAGGGGCAAGGTCGGGCGGCTGCTGCTCTCCACCTCAGTGGGTGCCCTCCTCCTGGGTATCGTTGGCAGGCCGGCTGCCCCGAAAAGCAAACCTCTAAACCTCTAAACCTCTAAACCTCTAAACCTCTAAACCTCTAAACCCTAAACCCTAAACCCTTTACCCTAAACCCTAAACCCTAAACCCTAAACCCTAAACCCTAAACCCTAAACCCTAAACCCTAAACCCTAAACCCTAAACCCTAAACCCTAAACCCTAAACTCTTGGGAGTTCCAGGGCTTTAGGGTGAAGTGACCCTAAGGACCCTAAACCCTGCCTACGACTCCTAAACCCTGCCTACGACTCCACCGAACAGTCTATGTATGTATGTATGTATGTATGTATGTATGTATGTATGTATGTATGTATGTATGTATGTATGTACGTTTTCATATGTGACGGTTCGCGTCTAGGGCTTGGATTGCTTGGGTTTGCGTTTATCGCCCTCTTTGCCTGCGCGGCTCCCACGCCCTCGGTGTTCGCATCAGGGACGTGCTCTCGAACATGCTCAGCTGCCTGGTCATCTACCTGACGCAGCCCTTCGCGCAGGGCGACTGGATCACGACCCGCGGCTGAGAGCTTCTTGAAACCCTAAACCCGAAACCCTAGACCCTAAGCCCCGAAGCTCTGAGCCCCTAAACCCCAGAACCCAGACCCCCAAGTCGCCATGAACCCCAAAGCCCGGCGCTGCAACCCTTCAGCCCCGAGCCGCCCCCGCCTGAAAAAGCACCCTGCGCCCTCTTTAACTTCGTACGAAGAGGGAGCAGTTCGGCTCTCTTTTTCTTCTTCTGTGGAGAAGCACTGAACCCTAAACCCATGATCTCCTAAACCCTTAAAACCCTAAAGCGCGCACCCACAAGCAACCCCAGGTTGAGCCTAAACCCCCCAAAACCTTTACACCTTGCGGCGACGAGCCAGAGCCCAAACACCCAAGACCCTTAAAGCACCAGGCGATGCAAGGGTTTCAGGGTTTCAGGGTTTCGAGCGTGTCACCGGTTACAGGGCTTACGGGGGTTACAGGGGTGCTGGCCGGAGAGTAAGAAGCCGCGAGGCAAGCTTGGAGCCTAAACTCTTGTGAAAACTCATAGAGAGACCCTAAAACCCCAACACCCCTAAACCCTAAACCCTAAGGCCTAAGCCCTAAGCCCTAAGGCCTAAGCCCTAAACCCTATGCCCTAAACCCTAAACCCTAAACCCTAAACCCTAAACCCTAAACCTTGAACCCTAAACCCTAAACCCTAAACCCTAAACCCTAAACCCTAAACCCTAAACCCTAAACCCTAAACCCTAAACCCTAAGCCGAGGCTGGAGCAAGGACAGGACGGCTGGGCCGAGGAGATCGGCCTCTTCTACACGCTGCTCGCTGTGTCTGCAGGGCTCCAGGGGATTTTTGAGGTTTAGGGTTTAGGGTATTTAGGGTTTAGGGTTTAGGGTTTAGGGTATTCAGGGTTGAGGGTATTTTGGGTTTAGGGCATTTAGGGTTTAGGGTGGAGGTTCTGGAGCTTGGGTTTGGGTTTGTTTGGGTTTGTTTGGGTTTGTTTGGGTTTGTTTGGGTTTGTTTGGGTTTGTTTGGGTTTGTTTGGGTTTGTTTGGGTGGGTTTGGGTGGGTTTGGGTGGGTTTGGGTGGGTTTGGCGGGTTTGGGTGGGTTTGGGTGGGCTTGAATGTATTTCGGTCGGCTTGGAGCGTTTGTTTTTTTGTTTGGGTGGTTTGAGGGTTTTGGGGGTTTAGGACCTGCGCAGAGCATCATGATCTCATCCGGCGAACCTACACAATCTCAGGGCTCAGGGTTTTGTGACTTGGCTTGAAGGCTCCCACCTGGACGGTCACCTGTACCAGTTGTTGACCTCCTTGTTGCACGGGATCTTACCCCAACTCGTTGAGACCCGAACCCTTGACACAATGACAAAGAGCCTAAAACCTCAAGCCTAAACCGCAAACCCATGAGGTCAAACCACGCCCTAGATCGAAACCCCGAACCTATAGTAGAATACAAGTATAACAGTATACCAGTATAATAGCATATAGGCATAACAGTATATCTGTTTAACAGCATAGCGGAAAAACGGTATAACAGTAGAATGGTATAATCGTATACTAGAAAACTAGAGGGACCTGAAAGCCACGCACCAAAATGCCAATTTTCCCCCACATGTGCCTCGTTGGCAAAGGAAGGTCATCCAGTGGGACAAGCGCCCCCTCTACGTACCCAACTTCCGCCGCAGGGCTGAGAGGGTGGAGTTTGTAGGGTTCAGGGGTTCAGGGTTTGGGTTTAGGCTTAAGGGTTCGGGGTTTGCCTTCAGGGTTTGGGGTTCAGGGTTTGAGGTTAAGGGTTGAGGGTTCAGGGTTCGGCGTTTAGGGCTTGTGGGCTCAGTCTAGGCCCGAAGTTCAAGGCCCAGCAATCAGCCCAGGCAAGCCCCAAACCCGAAGCCCTTCAGCCCCTCAGCCTGAACTCCACGACCCCACTTGAAGGTTCAGGGGGTACTTCTAGCCCCAAGAATATCTGCGCTTGTAAGCCCTAAGTCCTCCAAGTAGGTTATAAGTAGACTTCTGACTGGGGTTCTAAGCACCCATGAACCTCTAAGTACACCCGAAGATGACGCGGGCACCCAGGCATCGTGCAGATGCTGGTGCAGAACAACTCCCGCATGACGCGGCTCGCCGCAGTTTGAGGGCGTTGCTGCCTCCCCTCGGAGGCCCCAAAGCCCGAAACACCAAAGCCCAGATTTGTCCCCCAAAACCCTACATCCGAATCTCAAACCTCTTCCCCCACCCCCCCAAACCCTAGTCAAGCCTTACTTCCTAAGTCAAGACCATGTAAGCCCTGAAGCTTTAACTCCTAAGATCCTCGCGCCTCGGCTCTAGCGTGGCCTTTGCAGATGCGGTGAGACGAATGGTGCAAAGGGAGACAGACAGTCATGCCGAAGGTCAACGACATCCCGGCACAAAGCCCAGAGCAAAGATCCCTGAAAAGAAGGCCGGAGCCAAAGTGATGCAGATCCAGGCCGGGGGGCCGCTGAAACCCCAAAAAGGGCGAGAAACCCTAAACCCTAAACCCTAAACCCTAAACCCTAAACCCTAAACCCTAAACCCTAAACCCTAAACCCTAAACCCTAAGGAGATGACGGATGCAGGAAACCCAGAGCCGAAGCTCTAAACAGGCCCCAATCCCGAAGGAGGCAGGAGGTGGAGTAGGGGTTTAGGGTTTAGGGTTTAGGGTTTAGGGTTTAGGGTTTAGGGTTTAAAGCCAGTAAAGAAGCCTGAAACACTTAAGAGCCCGAATCCTTAAAAGCGGGGAGGTTGAGTTAGAAGCCCGATGCCTGCAGCCCTAACGCCCTTCAAGGCGGAACAAAGCCAACGCGAGGCGTCGTGTGGAACACTGGGGGTATGGGCGACCCTGCACCCTAACTACTCCTAGGCGCCTTAGCAATTAGAACAGGGTTTCCGGAAGGGTACCATTATAGTATAGCTATAGAATTAGACCATAAGGGAATACCCTGAGTAGTTATTCCGACCAGCCGTTTCTGCCCCAGGAATCGGCGCATCCGCTTCGACCTCAAGTTAAGACTGGAGGACATCCCGAAGGCAATTCTTATTTCTGGGTTTTTGGAGGGTTTGTTTGTTTTTTTGTCCTTGGCTCTGCGTCGTGTTTTCTTGTCAGTTGTTGTGGGTATTTAGGGCTTTGCTGCTGTTCTCAAGCTAACAGTGGGGCTCTGGGACCCCCCATTTTTCTTTAACCCCGAAGTCTACCCCTTCACAAACCCCTCTACAAGTGGTCTCCCATGAGTGTTAGACTCTTGCAACTGGTGGATAAGCCCTCAAGCGTTTAGGGTTTTTGGGTTTGGGTTAAGGGGTTTATGGTTCAGGGTTTAGGGTTTAGAGTTTAGGGTTTAGGGTTCAGGGTTTAGGGTTTAGGGTTTAGGGCCTAAGGTTTAGGGTTTAGGGTTTAGGGTTTACCCCCAAAGACCGGAGCACCTTGGAGCCTGCCAAAACCCCCTGAAGGTCCCTGAAGCCCCCGCCAAGCCTGTAAATCGTGCCTCAACCTTGAACGCTAACCCCTGACCCCTGACCCCTGACCCCTAAACCCTAAACCCTAAACCCTAAACCTTAAACCCTAAACCCTAAGCCCTAAACCCGAAGCGCCCCCTACCCCACAGTAACAGAGACTCCAAAGGCTTTTTGACCCCTTGCGAACCGGGCGCGCTCGGTCGCGAAACGGCGCTAAGATCGTAACCCTTCCTAGTGAAGGAGCCTTTATTAGGGGTAACCCTTCCTGGTGAAGGAGCCTTTATTAGGGTTTAGGATGGTTTAGGGTTTAGGGCATGGGGTGGGATTTAGGGTTTAGGGACAGGGTTTGGGGTTCAGGGCTTGGTGCATAGGGCTTAGGGCTGCTTGGGGTACTTGGAGGTTCATGGGCACTTAGAACCCCAATTATCACGAGCGCTTACAAGCCCCCCAGTCCTCGAAGTAGGTTATAAGGGGTTAGAAGTACCCATGAGCCCCTAAATCTCAGGCAGAGAGACCCTTGAAGCCCTAACAAACCCCAAACCCTAAACCCTACACCCTACACCCTAAACCCTAAACCCTAAACCCTAAACCCCAAATCCTAAACCCTAAACCCTAATCTTGAACCTCCAAGTAGCGGGGGGATCCTCTGACCAACTTTCCGGAGCCCGGGAACGCCGGAAGGTGCCTGAGATCGTCCAGGAGATCAAGAACATGATCGACACGCATCCGGCTCCCCGGCTTCCTCCAAAGGTTAGGGTTCAGGGTTCAGGGTTTAGGGTTCAGGGTTTAGGGTTTAGGGTTCAGGGTTTAGGGTTTAGGGTTTAGGGTTTAGGGTTTAGGGCGTTAGGATTAAGCCCGATTAATAAGCCTAAACCCTAAGCACAAACCTCTGAAGCCCTGAACCCCCGCAACGCTAAACACAGAGCCCTGCATAAGACGCCTAGAGCCCCCCCAGAACCTCCCCTTAGAACCCAGGTTTAGGGTTTAGGGTGTAGGGTTTAGGGTCTAGGGTTGAGGGTTTAGGGTTAAGGGTTGCTTGGCGGGTTCTGGGGTGTCTGGGGTTTAGTGAGTTGGGAGTGCACCGAATCCTAAACCCTAACCCCCAAACCCTAAACGGCTAAACCCTAAACCTTAAACCCTACACCCTAAACCCTAAACCCTAAACCCTAAACTCTAAACCCTAAACCCTAAACCCTAATTAAACCCTAAACCCTAAACCCTAAACCCTAAACCCTAAACCCTGAACCTTAGGAGATCGACAGCATCACCCACCGCCTCGTGCGCTGGCGACAGGCCCATTTTCGGACATGTGGCCTTCGGGTTAAGGCGGTACGTAGGGGCCTAAGGAGTTCAGGGTTTAGGGTTCATGGTTTAGGGTTTAGGGTGTGGACCCTAAACCCCAATTCCTTGATCTCGACACCCCAAACCCTGCACCCTAAACCGGAGTATTTACCAGAAAGAAGGGTGGAAATCATTGAGGCTCCTACGATAAGGGCTCAGTTAGGAATTAGGGCCCTGTTTTGGGGGCTTATTGGTTTAGGGTTTTGGGTTTAGGGTTTAGGGTTTAGGGTTTAGGGCTGAAGGGCATTTTGTGTTCAAGGGATGTAGGGTCGAGGGTTTAGGGCTTCGGGTTCCAGGGAGCTCCCGAAACAGTGCGAGCAACCCAGGCTCCAGCACCGAAGCGTTGATGTGCTTCTAGGGTTTAGGGTTTAGGGTTTAGGGTTGAGGGTTTAGGGTTTGGGGTTTAGGGTTTAGGGTTTAGGGTTTAGGGCTGAAAGCCCGGGACGCTCTCGATCCTCACTCCCCAACCCTGAGCCCTCAAACGTAAAAGCCTGACGCCCTGACCTTGATTCGTTAACCCTAAGCTCTAAAACCTGTCCCCGAAACCCCAAGATGTGTACCCGACCTGGAGCCACAAAGCAAGCCTGGGCCCAAACCACCCCACCCTCAACTTCCCTTAGCTCTAAGCCCTAAACACTCGAAGGGTTTAGGGTTTAGGGTTTAGGGTTTAGGTTGTAGGGTAACAACCTTACCACCTAAAAGCCCTAAACCCACGCACCCCAAGCACCAGAACCCTAAACTCGAACCCTGCGGAGGTGGGCGACTACTATGCCAGCATCTGGCTCTCTTGCTGCTGAGCTTGCACGGTCGGAGGTTCTAGGGTTCGGGGGTTGCGGTTCTTTAGGGTTTAGGGGTCACCCTAAACCCTAAACCCTCAACCCTAAACCCTAAACCCTAAACCCTAAACCCTAAACCCTAAACCCCAATCCCTAAACCCTCAAGGCTTGACTCCCCTAGATGGAACCCGAGGCTACACCAAGTCCACGGAGCAAGGGATCAAGCTGCACCTGGGCCTCCGTGACTTAGGGGGGGCTTTTGGGCAGTTCGGAAAATTTTCCAGGGTTCAGGGTTTAGGGTTTAGGGTTTTAGGGTTCAAGGTTTAGGGTTCAGGGTTTAGGGTTTAGGGTTCAGAAATCCTAGGGTTTAGGGGTCAGGGTGTAGGGTTTAGGTTCCCAAACCCTCAACCCTAAGGCCTTGGGCAGCGAGGTTTCGGTCTTTCGAGAGTCCTGGTCTTCGCGCTTCCGAGGTAAATGTTAAGGTCACCATTCATGTACTGCCCTCAGAATCCTGATATAGCCCCAGGAGACTGCCCCCAAAATTATCTGCCCCTAAACCCGAAACCCTAAACCCTAACCCTAAACCCCTCAAGCAAGTACCCAAGGCAGCACTACATTGCTGTGGAGCAGTCGGTGCTCGAGCGGTGTGCTGCATGCCGGCTTGCCTTGGAGTTGAGGGTCCACGGAGCGGTCGCCCTCAACCCCAAAACCCCAAAAGGTTTAGGGTTCAGGGTTTAGGGTTTAGGGTTTATTGCAGTTTAGGTTTTAGGGCATAGGGGTTTAGGGTTTAGGGGCTTAGGGTTTGGGGTGTAGGGTTTAGGGTTTAGGGGTTTAGGGGTTTAGGGGTTTAGGGCTTAGGGTTCAGGGTCAAGGGTTGTGAGCCCATCAACACTCCAGAAGCTGCATTCCTTCCGAGGCCATCGTCTACCGCCACGGCGCGGACTTCGCGGCCTCCACGCAGCTGTCTCTGAAAGGCGCAAGGGTTCAGGGCCGTTTAGGGTTTAGGGCTAGGGTTTAGGGTTTAGGGTTTAGGGGTTAGGTTCTCCATGGGGCCAGGGCCAGTAGTTAGAGGACCTCGATCCGCCCAAAAGCCCCTGCCCAACCCTCTCAAAAACCCTGTAAGCCTCAAGCCTTCAACCTCTACACCCCTAAACTCCTAAACCCCTGTACCCAGCCTTGAAACCCTAACCCCTAAACCCTAAACCCTAAACCCTAAACCCTAAACCCTAAACCCTAAACCCTAAACCCTAAACCCTAAACCCCAAACCCCAAACCCCAAACGTCCCGTCAGGTGTCGGAGGCCAGGCGAAGATCGAGGCGGCCCCACCAGTTTAGGGTTTAGGGTTTAGGGTTTAGGGTTTAGGGGTTTAGGCTAAGGGCCTTTCAGGCGTTTTCGGCGATGAAAGCCGAAGCCAGGTCGGGTTTGGGGTATAGGGTTTTGGGTTTACGGCCCCTCAACCCTAAACCCTAAACCCTGAAAATAAAAACCCTAAACCCTAAACCCGAAACCCTAAACCCTAAAACCCTAAACCCGAAACCCTAATCCCTAAACCCTAATCCCAACACTTGTTGCTTGGATGCGACTCCAAATTGGGCTCAAAGGGTCGGCCCCCCCCCCCCCCCCAAAGGACTTCGGATAGGGGGGGCTTTGGGGTAGAGGGGTTTAGGGTTTAGGGTTTAGGGTGCAGGGTTTAGGGTTTGGGAGGGATTACCCCCCTGCCCCCACGAGCAAACCTGTGGAGTTTAGGGTAGGCAGGGTTGCCTCGAAACCGCGAGAAGACGTAACTACAGAAGTTCGCCAATGGCCATGGCATTTGGAGAGTTGCGCAAGCGAAACAGAATCTTAAGAAGTTCGCCCTCCCACACTAGAGTACCCTAAGTTTCTTAACCAGCTAGCAGGAAACCGCAAGTCACACAAACCCTCCGGATCTACGTCGCTTTGCATGGATCAATGAGCATTCTATGATTCTATGATGGGTTCGATGTTGTCCTTGCTCACCACAGTCTTTCTTATCAATGCTTCAACAGCACCCTAAACCCTCAACCCTAAACCTGAAACCCTAAACCCTAAACACTAAACCCTAAACCCTAAACCCTAAACCCTAAACCCTAAACCCTAAACCCTAAACCCTAACCCCTAAACCCTAACCCCTAAACCCTAAACCCTAAACCCTAAACCCTAAACCCTAAACCCTAAACCCTGAACCCTGAACCCTAAACCCTAAACCCTAAACCCTAAACCCTAAACCCTAAACCCTAAACCCTAAACCCAAACCCTAAACACCAAACCTCCCTAAACCCTAAGCAGCTTCACGGCGCATGCTGGGAGGCCAGAGAGTGCAACCGTGAGAAATGGCGGCACGAATATCTCCAAAGATGGATTAAGTTGAATTCCCTAACACCCGGCATCACCCTAAACCCTACACCCTAAACCCTAAAACCCACTAAACCCTCAAACCCTAAACCCTAAACCCTAAACCCTAAACCCTAAACTCTAAACCCCCAACAAACCCCTTGGCCAGGAGGGCGCTGTGGCCCGAACCAGCCGGGAGCGAGAGCTCCAAGATACGCGCGAGGCTGTGCTGAAGGCCTCTCTACTTTCTTCGGTGGTGGTGGTTAGGGTTTAGGGTTTAGGGTTTAGGGTTTCGGGTTTAGGGTTTAGGGTTTAGGGGGTTTAGGGGGTTTAGGGGTTAGGGTTGGGGTTTCGGGTATTAGGGGGGAGCTCTAAACCCTACTGTAAACCGTAAGACTTGAACCCTTAAGCCTTGAACCTCAAGGCCCTAAACCGCAGGCCCTGAAGATTCTGGGCCTTTTTTGGCCTCTCATTCGGGGCTCAGACGCACCGAACGCCCAAACCCTAGGGTTTAGGGTTTAGGGTTTAGGGTTAGGGTTTAGGGTTTAGGGTTTAGGGTTTAGGGTTTAGGGTTTAGGGTTTAGGGTTTAGGGTTTAGGGTTTAGGGTTTCGGGTTTAGGAGTCTTAAACTCTGAGCCCTCAACTGCGCAGACCTTGCCCGGGATTAACTCCTATGGGAACCTTCCAAAGGTTGTCCCACATGAAGGCGACCCTCAACCCCAAGCCCTTTTGCCCCTAAAGCCCCTAGACCCAAACCCTCAATTTTCAGCCCTCATGCCATTAGTACTACCGTTTTGCGCCATCAATACTGCCCCTTTTGCTGTCAGGACTATGCTTACTCTTCTGATGTTCCGATGTTTTTCCTTTCTTTCCTAGTCAAAGCTCCCCCAAAAATGCCTAAGGTGTAAGCCGAACACCCAGCCCGCGCACAAATAAAACCCTAAACCCTAAACCTAAACGCTAAACCCTAAACCCGAAACCCGAAACCCTAAACCCTAAACCCGAAACCCTAAACAGGACAAGGAGGAGAAGCTCCGGGAGCGTGAGCTGGAGGTCGAGAGAACGGAGCAGGCACCATCGGGGGTTTAGGGTTTAGGGTTTAGGGTTTAGGGCTTAGGGTTTAGGGTTTAGGGTTTAGGGTTTAGGGTTTGGGGTTTGGGGTTTAGGGTTTAGGGTGGGCTTCATGTCATTAGTCTAAGGGTAGTTATAAGGTCCGGTAAAGATGGTCCCTTACCTTCTTTCAAGGGTTCGGAAGTCTGGGCCCCCCTAGGTTTTATAGGATTTATATGGGGTATATAAGGGGTCCCCTTACCAAGGCCCCTGTTCAGGAACCATGTAACTACCCTAGGAATCAGGGGCTTTTCTAGGTTTTGAGGCGAGGCTTTGGGGTGGTGAGGCTTTCGGACTTTGGGTGGTGAGGGTTGTGAGTTTCTATCTTTAGGGCGGCCTCGTTTTAGGGTTTAGGGTTTAGGGTTTAGGGTTTAGGGCTGGCTTGAAGGGTATCTTGGTGAGGGTGGAGGGGTCGAGACTCCGAGATGTCGGCTTCGAAGACGGTTCTGAGTCTCGCTGGCTTTGGGAAATTGGGAGCGCTGGCCCCAAACCTTGAGTGAACTAACTCGAAGCTCGTTGACCCGAAAACCCTAAGCCTTCAACGCAAACCTCGACCCGCAGCCTTTATCCTAAAATCCTTAGCCCCTGAACGCCTAGATTAGCTGCTCCAGCCCTTGGTTTGCCGGAGTCTGTAAGGTTCTCAGGGTTCCATGCCAAGCAAGCCTTCGCCCCTAAAGACCAGGCAAATCCCACACCCCGAAACCTCCTTAAGACCCAAACACTTATAGCCCTAAACCCTAAACCCTAAACCCTAAACCCTAAACCCTAAACCCTAAACCCTAAACCCTAAACCCTAATAAGCCCAGCTCCCAGCGCAGGACTTCAAGAAGAGGGAGCACGAGCTCGAAGAGCGAGAGCTGAAGCTGAAGGCAGGGTTTAGGGTTTAGGGTTTAGGGTTTAGGGTTTAGGGTTTAGGGTTTAGGGTTTAGGGGTTTATAAGGCCTTTCCAGTGGTTTGGGGTTTATCTAGGGCTTGCAGGGGATTCTGGGAATTCTGGGGTCTAGGGTTTCGGGTCAAGGGGTTTAGAAGGCCTTTCCAGTGCAACCTCCGAAAAGGTCACGATGGACGTCGCGGCCGACGCGGCACCTCGGGCACGCATCACGCGCGGAGGGGAATTGTTGGACTTGGGCCCGCGGGGTTCGTAGGAGAGGCCACGCCCTGAACCCTACTTGGAGGTCCAAGGTGCTTATTAACCAATTATAACTGTCCTTGTAATCCACTTAAAAGCCCCTTAAGTGCCCCTAATGTGGTTGTAAGTACAGTTACAAGTGCAGATATAATTGGTTATAAGTGCCATGAACCTCCAAGGATAAGCCCTAGACCCTAAAGCCTAAACCCTACGCCCTAAACCCTATAAGCCCTAAACCCTAAACCCTTATGACCCTAAGCCCTAAGCCCTAAACCCTAAACCCTAAACCCTAAACCCCAAACCCTAAACCCTAAACCCTAAACCCTACACCCTAAACCCTAAACCCTCTAAGCCCTAAACCCTAAACCCTGATTTGTGATTCTGCCCAGGAGCTCGACGAGGAGGAGGAAGCCCCCGAGGTCAAGCGCGCCTGGGCGCCACACGCAAACGGAGGGCGTTTCAGAGGTTTGGTAGGCGGTGTAGGGTTTAGGGTTTAGGGTTTAGGGTTTAGGGTTTAGGGTTTAGGGTTTAGGGTTTTCGTAGTATACCCAAGCCCTCCAAAGGCCGCCAAGCCCCTGAAACCTAAGCCCCACCCCCTGAGCCTCTCAGGCGAAGTGCCCGTGGAAGAGCCCGAGATCGGGAACTGAAGGCTGCCCTTCGCAGCGAGTTTCAACAAGGCCCATCGGCTGGGTCTTGAGGTTTTAAAGGTCGTTTTGTGTGGGCTTTGAGTGTTTCAGGGCTTTGGGTCTGTCGGGCTTCAGGGTCTTTCTTGGGGATGCTTGGGAAGAACTATGAGCTTTTGGGTACCATAATTCCTCCTAAACCCTAAACCCTAAACCCTAAACCCTAAACCCTAAACCCTAAACCCTAAACCCTAAACCCTATTTTGTTCACTATAGTTTATAGCTTTAGGGGCTTTAGGGGGGTCTTTAGGTTCCCCAGATTCTTTCAAGTTGTAGGGTTCAGGAGTTTCAACATGCGCGTTCAGAGGACCTGGCCCAGGCTTGACCCCCGGTTTAGAGGGTTTAGGGTTTAGGGTTTAGGGTTTAGGGTTTAGGGTTTAGGAGGTTTTGGGTTTAGGGTTGGGCGTTAGGGTTGGATGGGGCTCTAACTTCACTCCCGCCCGGCCTACTTTTCTGCGGGTTCCACAGTCCCCCTCGAGGATTCTTCTCGGGGTTTCGTACCGGGTCACCGGTACCAAAATCCAGGGGTTTAGGGTTTAGGGTTTAGGGTTTAGGGTTTAGGGTTCAGGGTTGAGGGTTTAAGGGTTTTGTTTCTCGGGCTTTGAGGAGTTTAGGGGTTTAGGCGTTTCCCCAGCCCGAGCCTATCCGTTTCCTGGCCACGAGAAGGCGGGAAGCCGGACCACGAATGGCCATGCCTTCGAGAGCCCAAAACCCAAAAACCTGTACCTCAAAAAACCCGAAACCCTAAACCCTAAACCCTAAACCCTAAACCCTAAACCCTAAACCCTAAACCCTAAACCCTAAACCCTAAACTCTTCCCTCCCAAGGCGGGGTGTAAAGGTTTAAAGGTCCTGAGCCGCCACGCGCAATCCCTAAGCCCTGAATGTTCGGTCCGGATTTCCGCCGCGAGCGTGCCAGCTGCTCTTCCGTACTGGGGCCTAAACAAAAGTTTTAGGGTTTGGGGTTTAGGGTTTAGGGTTTAGGGTTTAGGGTTTGGGGGCTGAATGCGGGCAGGCTATGTCAGCTTCAGCCAGGAGCTCTGCAACCGTTTCTTTTTTGGGAACCGCTTCAAGCACCAGTACGCTTCTGACAGCTCCAAAGCGCGCTGCAGTTTCGGGTGTGCTGGTAAGCCTAAACCTTGGGATGTTTCCCCCTTAGACTAACAGCCCCTTAGTAGGGAGTATAGTAGGGCCTATTAAGGACTGTTAGTATCTGGGGGAGCATCCTAAAGTCTGGTTGTCTTTCCAAGCTTGGATGTACGCTTGGGGTCCAGTATTCGCCGCGTCGGAGATGTGCGGAAGCAAAATCCGGAGCCCCAACCGGTTTAGGGTTTAGGGTTTAGGGTCTAGGGTTACCCCATGCCCTGAACCTCCAAACCCTCAAACCCCACAAGCCCGAAACCCCAAACCTTGAACCCCCAAACCCTCGAACCCACAACCCCTACACCCCAAACCCGAAACCCCACACCCTCAAACCCGAAGGCCTCAAAACCCGCAACTCTAAACCCTCAACCCTAAACCATAAACCCTAAACCCTAAACCCTAAACCCTAAACCCTAAACCCGCAACCCTAAACTCCCGGATCCGGCTGCGCGTCGACTCGGCCCCCGTTCCAGCCAACCCTTTGTGGATGGCCTGCGGATTCTTTCAACATAGCCATAGCCGAAGCACTCCTGGGGGTTTAGGGTTTAGGACGTTTAGGGCTTAGGGGTTTGGAAATTGAAATTTGGGGGGTTTAGGGTTCGGGGTGCAGGATTTTGGGGGCGTCTTGAGGTCCAGGGTGTGTATGGATACCGAGGTCTGCTGGGCCACCCTGACTTCAGGGGTTTCAGCTTTTCGCCTTGTTAGCATCGTGGGGTTCATGGGATTTCAGGGTTGTAGGGGAACCCTAAACGATAATCCTTAAACCCAAAACCCTACGTTCCCCTCAACCCTCAACCCTAAACCCTAAACCCTAAACCCCTAAACCCTAAACCCTAGACCCTAAACCCTAAACCCCAAACCCCAAACCCCAAACCCTAAACACTAAACCCCAAACCCCAAAGTTGTTGGGCTTACGGCATTTTCGAGCCTAGGATCCCGTTCTCGGGGCTGCGGGTTTAGCAACGTATTTGCGGTTCAGGGTGTTGTCAATAGACCTCTATAGGAGCCTTAATGATTGGAAGAGGTTATAAATATAAAGAGACCATAAGGGAATAATATGAGGGCTGCTACCGACCCCTAGATTAGGGCTGCGGTTGAGTGTTTAGGGGCTTCAGGGCTTGGGGTTTAGGCCTTCAGAGCTTCAGGGGCTTGGGGCTTAGGGAGTTGGGTCCTTGTGTCGGGGGTTTGGGTGGCCCAAAAGCCCTAAATCCTAAACTCCTAGACCCTAAACCCCAAACCCTAAACCCCAAACCCGAAACCCCAAACCCCAAATCTTAAACCCTAAACCCCAAACCCCTAAACCCCAGACCCTAAACCCTAAACCCTAAACCCCAGACCCTAAACCTCCAAAGTTCAGAAGCGTCATGGAGGCCATGCGTGCGAAGCGCGGGGAAAAGAGCCCTGCTCTCTAAAGCCTAGAATAGGGTTTGGGGTTTAGGGTTTAGGGTTTAGGGTTTAGGGTTTAGGGTTTAGGGTTTAGGGTTTAGGGTTTAGGGTTTAGGGTTTCTTAGAATGTGCTGGTAGCAAAGTTCCAATTAGGGATCGGGGTTTCAGGGTTTATAGGGATTAGCTCTAAGGGGTTTACGGGTTTGGTGCTTTCGTTGCTCGTTCGGACAGCCTTTGTCTGCCAGGTTGCTGGGGTGGACTTGTGCTCCTAAACACTACGATAGTAAACTCTAAACGCTGAACTCAAAGGACCTCTACCTACTATCTCTTGGTAGCGAAGGACGGAGCTAGGTACCGTTTATAATCTCATGTAAGGGGGTACAGGTTCTTCATTCCCTCATTCCCTACGAAGAACCAGCAAGTAAAGTTTCCACAGCCCCTAAACCCTAAACCCTAAACCCTAAACCCTAAACCCTAAACCCTAAACCCTGCACCCTAAACCCCTAAACCCTAAAACCCCTCAAGCCCGAGCTCGCAAGCTCCATGAACCCCCCAACACCTCGACCCTAAGCCTTGGGATGTTCACCCAAATATTGCCAGTCCAACATAGGGATTGGAATGGGGGGGGGGGGTACTAGAATCCCATAATCGGTATCTTACTAGGGGGTACTCTCATCCCTTAATAGGGATGATACTAGGGGGGACTATAATCCCTATTAAAAGCTTGTGAGTATAGGGGGGAAGAAACCCTTCAGAACGCCCAAAACCCACCCACGTTGCAGGTCTACTTCGATGGTGCCGCCGCGGTGCCCCCCGAGGAGGTACGCCTTCAAAAGCCGAAGTCCCCCGTAAGAGAAGAAAAGTGAAGCCCGGAGGTGAGCCTAAAGCCCTAACCCTAGGCCCTAAGCCCCTAAACCCTAAACCCTAAACCCTAAACCCTAAACCCTAAACCCTAAACCCTAAACCCTAAACCCTAAACCCTAAACCCTAAACCCTAAACCCTAAACCCTAAACCCTAAACCCTAAACCCTAAACCCTAAACCCCAAACCCTAAACCCTAAACCCTAAACGCCTCCTAAAGCCCGCTTTCTGCCCTGGCCCAGGTGCTGGCTTTCCTCCAAGCCCGGCTCTGCGAGGCCTTAGCCTGGCTGGCTTTTTGGGGGGTCTTTTTTTTGGGAGGGGGGGGGTTTCGGGTTTAGGGTTCGGGTTTAGGGTTTAGGGTTTAGGGTTTAGGGTTTAGGGTTTAGGGTTTAGGGTTTAGGGTTTAGGGTTTAGGGTTTAGGGTTTAGGGTTCAGGGTTTCGGGTTTCGGGCTTCGGGGCTTAGGGGCTTAGGGGCTTAGGGGCTTAGGGTTTAGGGTTTAAATAGGGTTTAGGGGTGCAGGGCTTAGGGGCTTAGGGGCTTAGGGGCTTAGGGTCTAGGGTGTTTTTCTGCCTGGGTTGTTGCCAGGAGCAGCGGGTACGCCGGAAGAGGCCCTTGTAGGCCGGGGTGGGCTCTTGGAGCCAGCATCTCCTGCGCAATCGCCAGCCGATTTGGTGAAGATTGCCATCGAGAAGGCGAATGCCATGATCGCTCGACAGCGTGCCGAGTTGCCGGCAGAACAGATGCCGCCTCCTCCTCCGCCTGTTGAGGGTGTAGGGGTTTAGCGTTGAGGGTTTTGCGTTTAGAGGGTGTTTTCAGGGTTGAGGGCTGCTTTGGGGCTTTGGGGGGTTTTCGGGTCGCGTTTGGGGGGGATGAGTGTAAAAAGAATTCAGGCTGTTGCTTGGATTTAGGGCTGTTTCAGGGTGCGGCGCAATTTTTGGGTTGAGGGTCTGGGGTTTGGGGCTGCTTTAGTCTTTGAGGGACCATTTTAGGTTGACGGTTTGATGGTTTTCCTGAACCCTGAAGCCTAACCCTAAGCCCTAAACCCAAAGCCCTAAACCCTAAGCCCTAAGCCCTAAACCCTAAACCCTAACCCTAAACCAAAAACTGAGGTTCGAGGGCTTGAGAAGGTCGAAATCCCTGCTTCGTGGCGTTCGGGCTGAGGGGTTCGAAGTCGGAGTTCGACTGTAGGGCTGGGGGGTCGACAGTCAGAGTTCGGTTTTGCAGGGTTTATGTACTGCCTGTCCTGCCTAAACCCAAAACCCAAAACCCAAAGCCCTAAACCCTAAACCCTAAACCCTAAACCTTAAACCCTAAACCCTAAACCCTGGTTTAGGGTTTAGGGTTTAGGGCTTCGGGAGCCCCTCGCCAAAGCCCTACAGGTCTTCGACCTACTCCTGGCCGACTTAGATCAGCGGCTCTGCTTTGTTTGGAGGGTGGCCGACACTTCAACTTGTCCTAAACTAAGCACTTTAGGGTTTAGGGCTTTAGGGTGAGCCCTAAGCCGCAGCTCTGTACATGTCTCAAGGGCCTCAACGTTCACCCTCACGCCCCAACACCCAAATGCCATAACACC